GCAGGCAGGGATCGAACTCATGCGGAAGTGGCTTTAGCTTCTCAGTGCTGCGCTTTAACCCGCTGCGCCACCAGGGAGGGCCTGTCTACCCTCTTTTACCAGATTCTTTTCTCAAAAGCTTAACTAGTATGTTCAAATACTATTCATAGAGATACCAAAGAACTAGAACATGGATTCTCAAACTTTAGTAAAATATTTAGAAGTCACAGGACTTCAAAGCAAGAGTTTAAACTTAAACACATTTGTTTTAAATGAGGTAACAAATCAACTTCAAACAAATCAATTTGTATGAACAAAGGTATAAGAAAAAAGTATGGGAGAAAAACTTAAAATTTCTTAAACTATATAAACTCATTAATTTGTATATTTAATAAAAACGACTTCATCATTTTTATTCCAGTAACTAAAAATAGAATTTTGAAGGAATATGGCTATCAATATTTGAAAACCACTGAGATTCGGATGGTGATAATATCAATCTCATGAGAAGACTGTGAAAATTAAATGAGATAAATATAGTCAATGCTCAAAGATGTCTCCATTGAATTAAACATCAACCAATGTATGAATTAAGTACCTTTTGCATAATGCTTTTTTGTGATCGTTTGCTAGTTCACTGCTTTCCCTAAGGGTCTTTGTTTTACTTGATGTTACTTCATGCTGTGGGTAACAAAAGAAATAATTTTTAAAACTCAGCACTTTAATGATTGTCAATAATTTTTTAAAAAGCAAACTGCTAACATATTGAGTCATGTTAAAAATATTCATACACTTAGGTTCATTTAATCTAGTTTGGTAGATAAACCCAACATTTTACACATCTACAATTTACTATATATATTTAAAGATAATGAAGAAAGACCAGAATTTTAAAAATCAGCTGTAGTTGTAGTTGCAATAGATAAGAAAACTTTGACTGCTCTTACTCTTTTTTATAAAAAATAAAATCCAGAATCTGATCAAGGTTTAAATCTCACATTTCGTTGTTGTGTCTTGTAATCTAGTAGTCTTCCTGCATTTGTTTTTGTTTATGGTACTGCTTAAAGAATCTGGAAGTGGGGATGGAAGAATGAAGGAGGGGTGTGGAGTATTAGGAGCAGATAGAAAAAACAAGTCCAGGCCAGTTAGTTGCTTTATGCTATGCCCCATATTCTTGAACTGTCTGTTTACTCATAATTACATTCTGGTTAAATATTACAAACAATACTATTATATAAATATTATTGGGGACTTTTATTAATAACTGAACATATTGAAAGATTATTACAAAATCACTGGTGCTAAATTTGATTAATCGGTTAAGGTGGTGTCTATCAGATATTTCCTTTGTAAAAGTAAATTGCCTTTTTTAATTAGTAAGTAATCTAAGCGGTGACAATTTGAGATCATAGTTTTGGTACTCATTGGTACCATGTTTAAATCATCTATTTTATTGAGGGTTATAAAATGAGGATTTTCTATTCTATATCCTTTCTATATTTATTAGGTATATTTTTATAAAAGAAAAAAATTCTTATCCCACCTTTTCTTTCCTTTTTTTCTTCCCCCCTTTTATTCTCTTCCTATTTTTTGTTTTACTGCTTTTGGAGTATTACTATGAATCATGGATCATTTCATGTATTATACTTAAGTACTGTCATCTTTTCTTAATGCTTAAATTATCTCAAATTTGGCTGTTGCCTAAATATTTTTAAGTCAAAAGTATAGGTAGATTTGAGGGTGACAAGCAATAAAAATGGCCAGTTTTTAGTATTGAGAGGTATTATTGAAAAGTCATTGTTGTTATTCAACAAATGGCATAGCACAGCAATTAATCAGAATCTACACAGCAGTTGAGAACTGATAAATATTGTATCCCTATTACTGCTTTCATCATTACTGATAGAAGCAGACTTTCAAAATTTTTATGTAATTTTATTCATATGAATATACTAATGCAAAAAGTGTTCAGTAAAAACCAGACTCTTTAAATTTATTTTGGATCACTGGTACTAACAGGTCACAGTAAACATTTTTAAGATTACAGTGCTTTCAAAATATTGAAACTGTAAATTCTAATCAAATATCTTAATTTCTTCTTACCTCTTCTATCAGAAAATGTTGATCTTGTTCCCAGATAAAGGCACCGATTTTCCTTCTTATTTCTGTTAAGAGAAACAAATCCAATGCTGTTTTTTAAGTAATGTAAATTTTCTGATTTTGCTTGAATCCTGAAATTTCTAAGCCAGTGCTATTCTACTTGTATCAAAATCACTTAAGGAACTTGTTAGAAATTCAGGTTCCTATTGAATCAGGTCATTGTGAAGGAACGCAGGAATTTGCATTCTAACAGACTTCTGAGGATTCCAAAGCATTATAAGAATTACTGTTGTAGATTTTTTTTTCTGCTGGAATATATTCATATATTCCTTGATGCAGTGCCTTTAGGCCAAGCACTAATAAAGAAGATAATTGTACAACTCCCTGAATTTGCTGCAAGAAGGATGTATGAGCAACATGAATATTGGGCATGGTAGTACAGGAATTCTATACTGTTCTGCATATGTCCTCACCCTAACTCAAAAGTTTCCTCACTAGCCTGATAGAGGACATCCCTCTAGACATACATTGTCCAGTACAGCAGCCACTGACTACAAAGATATGTTGAAATATGTGGCTAGTCTTATCAGAGAGAGGATAAAATAAATTCTGCATAAAATATACACTGGATTTCAAAACCTTAGTTTGAAATTAGGAATGTATGTTATCTTAATAATATTAGTGTTGATTACATATTGAAATGATATTTTAAATTTATTAAGTTAAATAAAATATACTCTTTTTAATAGAACAACTTTTAAAAAAATTTTTAAAAAATATTTATTTATTTATGCATACAGAACTAAAGTACAGCCAGAGGTGCAGGGGCAGTGAGAGGAATTACCAGAGACAGAGAGGGGAGCAGAACAGGCAGATTGATAAAGTACACTGCTGAGGGGAGCAGCAGGCAAGACAGGAGAGGTCTGCTGTGCTATGTCATCTCCCTGGCCAAGGATAGAACTTATGTTGAGGCAGCTGTGGCCAGATTCATAGTGCTGTGCTTTAACCAGCTGTGCTACCAGGGAGCTGTGCTTTTCACCTTATTTCTTTTTATTATTAGGCTACTGGTAAATTTAAAATTAATATGTGGCTTACATTTTGGTCTCACATTTCTACCCAGACAATACCAATTGAAGTAGATAAAAATGTATATTTTAAATACATTTAAAGTAAGATGCTAATCTCAAAGGCAGTATAGGTGTGATAATTTAAAAACAGATCACATGTCATTCTGCAGTATAAACTCTTTGAATTTCGGTGTCCACTGACTGACACTGAGGTTTTGAGTACATAATTTCTCCTACCCATCATTAATTTATTTGTATAAACACTTAAAACAATTTGTTGCTGTCAGTAATAACTAAGTAATCAGGATATCAACTATTCAAGGAACCCAACCTTGGGGTTTCTAAGTAGGTATTTTTCAGTGTTTTGTTGTTGTTTTTTAATACTCTGGAAATTTGTACTAGTTTCACTCTGTCCTTCTGGGGATGCACACATCCATGTTAAAAACTGGATAATAATTCAAGACATACAAAATGGGATTTTTAAAGTTATCCCATAAAATAGGATTTGGACAAACAGAGCAAGAAACAATGTTCCAAGCAGGGAAAACTAAAAGAACTAATCTCAGGCACAGTTCATTTATTTACTAGCCTTTCCTCCTTCAGGAGCTATTAAAATAATGAATGTAAAAGTACTTTCTAAAGTATAAAGAACAGTGCAAATATGTGGGCTTAGAAGTTGCTACAAGTCAGAAAACTGTTGAATCCTATAATACTGAGCTCCCTGAAGGCAAGATCTACTTCAGTTTTATGCACAGCACTGGGTTGAAACCTGGCCCACAGTAGGACCTCAGTGAATGAACAAATGAACTAAGTTAAAATACACATCCACTCCAGGCAATCTGATTCAAAGTCCATTCTTTTTCACTTAGGTCAACTGGTACAAAGTCAAAAATCTTTCATTGCAAACAAAGTGACCTTGGGTGACATGTGGCTGGATTTGGCTATCAAACAGGGACTAGATGAACAATCTTTTGCTAACCTTTTTGCAGGCATGCAGGAGGAAGAATGAAATGACCTAAAGCCACGGAGTTTTTAATTTCAGCATTAGCTACTGCAGAGAGATAATAGGCGTGAAAAACTGTAGCATTATCTTCTATGTAATCAAGGCTCTGATATATTCTAGGAGAAAGGAAATATTTTAGATTATGAAATAAACCGGAATGTATCCAACTTTCAAATGAAAGAGTAAATGAACAGAAGTTTAGGAAAATTATCTTGTAGGAATCAAGAGACTTGTGGATAGCAGGGGAGGAGAAATAGTGGGATGGTAGAGGGCCAGAAAGAGGGGCAGGGGCTTTGATCAGACCTCTTTGTAAATGTGATGGGACAAGAATGTCAAGGGGGATCGCAAAGAACAGATATGAGGGCAAAGTACCCTCTCTGAAAGTTACTGTGAAAGTCTGGCCAAGTGATAAATGGGGTGTGTATTAAGATACTGGTAGTGAGAAAAAATATTTTAGAGGATGACACAGACTGATTAATAGCGTAAAGGGTGTCATTCCAAAGAAACTATCAAGGTTTTAAGTTTGAGAACACAGGATCTGGTGCAGGAAGAAGGGTAATCTTAAACATATTACGTTACGAGGGAAATGGTTGGAATCATGACTGAAACTTGGGGAGGGGCCTGTGGACCAGGTAAAAGACCCTGCCAGCCAGGACTGAAAATTCGCTCTTCCTATCAGCAATATTAATTATTGCACTGCAACTGTAGCTTCATCATGATCCAAAGAGGCACTGCCTGGTGGCCTTCTGGTACCTCAGCGTGTCTGGGTGTGACGCATCACAGCTGAACAGGAAATCCGCAGCCCTCGGGTCACTGATCTTCCCCCCTTCGGCCTCTGTGGAGGTAAAAGCACAGAGTAAACTAGCAGGTACTCTGTGGACAAGGCACCAGAGGGGGGCGAGGTACTCCCCTCACCACCCTGCCACCTAACCACCTACCCCAGAACTGCCTCAGATGGCCGCTGACGCTGCGGCAGAACCAACCCCGCTGCCCTTGAAACATGGCGCCTCCTCACTTGAGAAGGGGAGGGGGAGGAGTCCAGAGTCGGGATCAGCTGCTGATTGGTTCCAGATATAAACCGAGCTGGATGATTGGTTCGTAAGAGGAAAGGGCGGGAAGAGCCTGAGGCAGCGAATTGGGATCAGGTCACTACCAGACTGAGCAGAGCAACTGGTTGCACTGTGAGGGGCTCGCCCCGGACACGATGTAGAAGAGGGTCAGTCTTGCTTGTGAGTCTTAAATTTTAAGTGTTAACAAGGTTATGGTACTGTACAGTATAAGCGTGTGTGCAGGTTCGGTTGTATTAAGTACTTTTTTGAGCAGATCTTATTTCACCTATAAATGCTCGTTAGATTCTCGATGAGGTCTTTCTAGAAAACATAACCTCAACATCATTATCATACTTAAAAAATAATTCTTTTATATAGAAAATATCACCAGTGTTCAAATTTCCAATTTTTCAATATTACGTTTTTCTGTACATCTCCCTCCCCTCAGGTGACAGCAGTTCTAAAAGGTACGTTTTTCTGTTGTTGGGTGGATCCATTAATCCAAAATTCAGAGCTATGGATAGAAACATGTTCAGAAAACCTTTTTTAATATTGGCAGGCTCTGTGTAGTTCCCTTTTCATTTCTAATAAGACTTGTTCCTTTTTTAAAAATTTCTTAGTCTCAATAGAGATTTGTAAATTAACCTTTTAAAAAACATACTTTTAGTTTTGTGGATACTCCCTGTACATTTCTTTCACATATCTTTATTTTCCGCTGGTTATGTATTTCTATTTTACTTGGTTTAAGTTGCTGGTAAATTGCTTTTTTTTTTTAGTTTCATGAAAGACACTTTTATCCCTTGTTTTTTAAAATATGTGCATATAAAGCTATTAATTGAAAAGCTATAATTTTTAAGATATCATTTTTTATTGTTCAATTCAGAATTTTTTCATATTTCCAATATGAGGTTTTTGAACCATGGCTACTTTATTTATATTTTTTCTTTTGTAAATTTCAAATATACATGATTCGTTGTCTTGTTACTGGTTTCTGGTTTAAATCCACTAAGGTCAAGGAATATAGCCTGTGTGATTAAAATATTTTAAGATTTCTTGAAATTTTCCTTTTGACAAGTATATGGGCTCTGTATTTTTGCCAAAAGTTCTGTAGCTGCTGATGTTCTGGAGTATTGGGTGCAGTGTTACACATACGCGTATTGGGTTAAATTAATCATAGCGGCTCTTCTATTAGTTACTGGAAGTAGTATTTTCAAAACTATTTCATCTGTGGGTTTGCCAATATCTTCTTGTTTTATTTATTTATTTTGCATTATTTGTGTTGTTTGGTAAATGCAAATGTACACTTATTTTCTAGTTGATTGAACCATTAAGCTCTCAGTATGTAAAGTAAAACTTTGAAACATATAGAATAAAACACAGGAAAATATATTTCTTGCCTCTGAGTAGAGGATTTAAAAAATGAGACACAAGGTATTAACCATGAGAAGATACTTGCAATACAAATAACCAACAAAGGACTGGTGTCCAGAATAGATAAGTGACACTATAAGTCAGTAAGAGATTTAAAGTAGAAAAATGGGCAAATGCTCAAATAGGTATTCATCGAAAACTTAAATGACTAATAACTTGTGAAAAGATCCTTAACTAGGGAATAGCAATAATGCTTCAGTTTGTGTATCCACCTTATTGGTAAAAATTGAAATGGTAAAGACCTAATTAGTGGGAATTCCCACTGCTAGTAAGAATTTAAATACAGCATTTCTTAAATAAGATGTCCTCATCCTATGTTCCAGCATTTATTAGGTCTATGCCTAGAGAAATTTTGCTTCTATGTTGAGTACACATATATAATAATGTTTATGGCAATATCCCTATTCCCCCCCAAAACCCAACTGGAAACCATCACTTATCTGTCAACAATAGTTTGCATACCTAAATTGTTGTCTTTTCATACAATACAAAATAATTTTGAATTTTAAAAGAGCCTAGGAAGATATACTTGACCCTATTCATCAAAACCAGGCATAATGAAACTTATTTTTAGGGATACATACAGTATAGAAAAAGCTAAACAGTATATTTTTTGAAAAATCATACCTATTAATTGTTTTCAAAAAGAAAAAAGCTAGACCTGAAATGTAAAACAGTGAATACTTCAGGGCTGGGGAAGGTATACAGGGGCCTTCAGAGGTTTTGATACTGTTCTATTTTCTCAGCTAAATGATCACTTAAGGGGAGTTAAGTCTTATATTATGCTCTAAAGTGTGTATGTATATTATATACTCTATGTATTTTTTAAATAATATAATAGTTTACATCGTTTTGTGCCTTTTCCATCTCAGTTGTATATATATTTTTAAAGATATATTTATTTATGCATACAGAACTGGGGTACAAGACAGAGGTGTAGGAGTGGTGAGAGGATTCATCAGAGACAGAGTGGGGAGTAGAACAGGCTGACTGCTGAACTGCACTGCTGAGGGGAGCAGCAAGTGGGTCAGGAGAGGTCTGCCACCCCATGTGGATCACCTCCAGTGGCTGTAGCTCTTAGTATTGTGCTTTAATCAGCTGTGCCACCAGGGAGGGCCCTTTGTATGTATTTTACTATTAAATTTTTTTTTACATCATTCTTCATTTTGTGCATTTTTCCATCTCAGTTGTAATCCCCATGGGTAAATCTTTTTAATAATCAAAAAAGTATATCAACTTGGGGGATTTTATTAAAAATCAAAAAAGTATATCAACTTGGGGGATTTTATTAAAAATAATTAAATATTTGATCTTGAATAAGCCATACTTAACTGAAAGATTAATTTATCTAGAGCTTCTCTTTCCAGAAATAGCTATAATCCAATTTTACCATATTTTTCTTCTTTATCACAGACATGTTGTACAAATGTGCAATTTGCTATTCCAAAAATCTGTTTAGTTGAAGAAAAGTAGAAGGCATTCATTCTCCTTTTGATGTTTTCAGCTTTGTGAATCCTAACACACTGCCTAGGATCTCTTTTACCTTCTACTTAATACGAGGATATTCGTTGAGATGTAAATCATACCACAATAAAACTGTTTTTTAAAAAGAAAAACATGAATGTTTTACTAACAGGGGAACAGGGACACACCACAGGTACACACATAGTTTCCACTCTGTAGGTTTCTACCTTCACATACTACACCTCAGCTCTCCAGTATTTGTCTTAATATAGATGATACAAATTCATTATTCCACAGTAATTGGTTGTTCTATACTGAACCCCAGTTCTGTATGCATAAATAAATAATAATAATAAAATTATTCAGTATAGAACAACCAATTACTGTGGAATAATGAATTTGTATCATCTATATTACATCTCAACGAATCTTCCCATTAGAAGTATACAATTTAGCAATTCCTAGTATATTTATATAGATAGATGTACTCACAAACATTCATTTTTAAGAAGTATATTTTCCAAATTCAGATTAGAATTTACATTAATTTCTTATCATTTTTCACTATCCCAATTTAATAAAAATATTTCAGTATAATTTTCCCCTCCTATTCTGGTGAATGTTGACCTCCCTTTTCTCTGAACTCTATAACTTATCTGTCCTCAAGAATAGACACTAGATATTTTATCTGGAAGTCTGTATATATAGAGGCAACAATAGACTTTTTGTCCCCCAAACTTTGTCACACTACTTAAAAATCTTTACCCCACCATTAGAAGTATTTGCTTATTGAATATGAGCTATATATTTTTTATGCCAAAGTAAATATGTAGTTTATGTATTTCCTTTCCATTATGACAGATAGAATGGGGGCTTTTGACCTGCCAAAGGACTGTACTAATTGTAATTTTAGAGAGCCAGTGCTGCTTCACCCCCACCCCCCTACACACACACACACACACACACACACACACAACTTTCAGACACAGAGAATGAAGCCCAGTTAAGTGGGACTTACAAAGAGACATGGGTTTATCAAGGTTACTGCTAAGAACTTTAGACTTATAAGGAACAAACTGGTGAATGAGTTTATTGAAGAAGACAAAATGAACAATTCTGATATTTCAATTATAAGTGGAATGATGAAAAGCACATGGTCAAATGGATAAAAATACTTAAGTGTATTTAATACAGAAAAACAAGTAACTCCATAGATAGGTAAAGAAAGAAAAAAGGGACTAATTGTCAGAGATTCACTGTATTGCAAAATTAATATTACAAGATAATTAAATAGGGAATATATATCTGAAAATTCACCTATTAAGAGTCATTAAGCTTGAGAATAATGACAGTATGATGAATTTCTAGGCATGTTTGAAAGAGTTCCCAAGCATTACAAGCTCAAGTTGCATTTTGCGCCAGTAAGAAGAGTTGATGATCACTCCCATGAAAGTAACTCATTTGTCACAGAAGACCCTAGTGAATTAGAATCACATCGTGAAAGGCTCCAGTAAAAACCACTTAAAACAATGAGAATGGAATTCAGTTGTCAGTCCTTTTTCATTATTCTAGAGTTCCCCATAAATTGGGAAGAGAAACCAGTGAGACTGGTAAACTATTTTAATACCTCTTTAATAAACACTCTGAATTTACACAATAGTATGACTGATTACTGTGGATGTAAGATATGCAATGGTTCTTTATTCTCTCCACCATCATTAAGGCAAGGGCAAAAGTAGGGGTAAAGTTTCTCTGTGAAAGTGCTACTGAAGGTGTAAATATGGGTCATGGTTTTAGCATTGTAGAAAGATACCTGCCCTCCTTCATAATCCAGATATATGCCCACCTTATTTAAGTTGTCAGTCAGATTCAGACAGCAAGAAGGCAAATCCAGAGCCTTTAGGTCAGTTTGGTTCCTTAGTCTTAAAAGCCAAAATCCTTGCTCAGGAGTTAGAGGACAGCTGCCCTTCCGTATGATGGATTCTCGGACGACTCCAACGGTCCATTTTGTCTTCTTTGCTACTTCTACTTCCCAGTACCACTTTCCAGATGTGAAACCTTTTGAGCCCAGCACTGCCACACTTGAGTCAAACCTCTCTGGATCGTCAGGCATTGCCTGTTTAATGTCATCATGCCACACACTGGTTCGATTTTGGGAGAGTACCAGATTTGGATGAGCAGTTTTTGGGTCCAGAGTTAATGGAGATATGCCTAATAAGAAAAAAAAAGTAAGTTTTTACTATCTCATAGTAAAAGACAGTATTTATACAGACGCCAGTACTTTATGTCCCTGTGTATATAATTTTAGTCAGGCAGGTATTATTCATATACTTTTTATTATTTTAGTATTCGGGTGACTATATTCTAGACATTTTTATATTTGTAGTAAAAGCTAGACTTTACTTGGAAGCTACTATGCTCTAGTAAAGGGGGAAAATACAAAGAATGTTAAATATTTACTAGAAAACACAAATTCCAAATGGGGTTAGACTGGGTACATTTGTCCTAGGAAAGCTTACTAGGGATAATAAATTGCGATATATCTACGAGTTATATTCAGAATGCTCTGCTTAAGCAAAGGCAAAAAAAGAAGGGTTGAAGACAGTAGCTTGTATAGGAAAGAAGATAAGTGTTTGTATATTAGAGCCAAACAAGACTGAGCTAACTTGTTCAGAGTTTAGAGGACAATGATGAGAAGTTTATATTTGGTTCGAGAAATAATGGGACTTTTGAAATCTGGATTGATTTGTGCCACTGTTAGTCAAAATGTCTACAAACTGTATGGTCCTGGCTGATATCATGGGTAAGACTGTATAGAAATGGCAGTTAAGTTTTTACTATCTTTGATAGCAATCTGAAAGAGTGATTTTATGTCAGCTGAATTTAATTAAAAACCTGAGCTTGCACTTTGTAATACTTGTTTGTTATTTTAATTTATGCTTTTTTCAAGGAACTGATTTTTATTATGTTCTAAAAATGTATCAGTCCATGAAAATTTGAGATTTTTAAAACTGGACATTAACCACAGAAAATTTGTTAAGCATTGATTTAGTCAAATTAGTGGACAGCAGTATAAAAGAGAATTTTGAAATAAAGAGGGGTTGTAAGCAGACAAGCAAGATGATCTGCTTATACACAGAAAATTCTGGATATAAAATAATCAAACCATCGTAAAAGAAACATATGGGATATGGACAAACAGGATAAATACCTTTAAGAAAAACAAAACTTAAAAGAATTTATTACCACTCCATCTCCATGAAATAAATACTAAAGGAACAATAAAGTACCAGATATCAGATGTCATACAAAATGGACAGGAAGGAAAGTAAAACTAGGCTTTCACAGTAAGGTTGCAATCAAATCATTCGATAGAATTGTTGATAGAATTTGATAATCACACATTAACCTTAGTATTAGTTCCAAACAAAAATCTATACAGGACACACAAAGGGTAATGGAGATGAAACTCAAGCAAAACATGAAAAGGAATAGTGAAAACATAAGTGAAAAGTAAAAGAATAAAGACAAACTATAAAAACCAAAAAAAGAAAAAATGGTAGTACATACATATTTTTCCATAATCACCTTAAATTTAGATAGTTTTAATTCACCAGTTAAAATTTATATAGTAACTGAATGGATCATAAAATTTAAACCAAACCTTTTGCTATTTACAGGAAACTCAGCCCTAAAGATAAAATAGCCTTAAAGTAAAAAACTCTGGAAGACTATCCAACAACTAATTGGTAATTGAGGGGGGGAGGGAGGCAAGACCAACTATATTTAAACCAGATAAAAAAAGATAGTTACCCAAAGTGAATGACTGTATTAAAAAGATATGGTACATATACACCATGGAATATTACTCAGCAACAAAAAAGAGAAAGAAACACATGTCTTTTCTGCAACATGAATGGAGCTGGAAAAGATCATGCTTAGCAAAATAAGTCAGAAAGAAAAGGAAAAATACCGGATGGTTTCTCTCATAGCAGAAATATAACAGAACAGGCAAGAAAATAGTGATAATGATGAACAACAATATACCAGAGACATTTTGTGGGGGTGGAGTGGGGAATGGGATCAAAACAGTTGGGGGAGGGAAGTGCACTGGTGCATGGGTGATTTGGTGATGGGAAACCCAAGGGGATTGCAACTGAGATGGAAAAATGCACAAAAATATGTAAAAATAAACTATTATAAAATTTTTTAAAAAGAGAGTTAGAGATAGAGATGAATATTACTGATAATTATTGTCTTAATACAGTAAAAAATAGTAGCATGTAAGTATACCAAATGATGAAGCACTAAGATACATAAGACAATTATTTATAGAACTAAAAAGAGATATTAACCACACTTGAGAATACTAATACTTTACTAGGAAATTTTGGTACTCACAACAATGAACAAATCAGCAAGACGGAGACTAAGTAAGAGAATAATAGCTGTAAATGAGGAGCTGATCATATAGGCTTAACAGGCATCTGTAGAACATTCTGCCCCAAAGCTGCTGCGTATACTTTTTTTTTCAAATGCACATGGAACACTTTCAATAATAGATCCTTCATTGGGATATAAGCCAATTGTCAGTAAAACAACAAAGACAGAAATCATACCAAGTGCTCTCTCTAACCACAATGCCATAAAAATAGAAGTCAATTGTAAAAGAAAAACAAAATAATAGAAAATTGAACTCTAATTCTGTTTTATTTATGGGACATCTTCTGTGCCCCTAATTATACTTTAAGAGTGGAATTTGGCCAAAGAAGGCTAGTTGGTATGACTGAATTTCCACTAGTACCATGACCTTACAATTTATGACTTGCACTGGCAAATCGTCTGTTGTCAGAATTACTTCTCAGCCTACAAGTTGGATTGTTTTGTCAAATGTAACAACTAATCTTCTATTCTGTTTTGCTAAATTGATTATCTAAATCTCTGGTGATTCTCTGCTCAGGAATGAATAGCTACTACCCACTGATACCTGGAGATAGAGTCGACTGCATTTCCCTCCATATTATGTACTGAATGGGACCTTTGAACAAGCCTGGGTTCAGCTTTTTGGAGATAAGCTCTCTGGGTGACAGCACCTTCATTCCTTGCTCCAACCTACAAGGAGCATAAATAACTTATTTTTAGGCATCCTTCAAAGATTGAAGGAAGGGCATTAGTAAATACCATGCGAAATTCTTACCTATCCAAGAGAGGTGTGATATCCTAGAAGATAAAAGGAGAAATAGTTAGGCTAGGTGTCTGCCCATCAATGCCAGAAACTTCTTTGTTAGTACTGGCAACCACCGGGATTCAATATTGGGGTCCTATACAGATGGTTCCCCTCCTATCATCACCAATTCCTCTCATCCTCCATATGCCTTTTCTAATTTAAATCCTTTATCTAACCCAGTTAGCTGACATTAGTCTCTCTCTGAATTTCTAGAGTTCCTTTTTTACAGGGAACAAGAGATAAATTAAGATTAAGCTAATTTTACTTATATTGCCACATAGTCTCAGGAAAAAACATAGTAAGTTTTCTAGCCCTAGTTAAGCTTACTCTGGCTAGTTAAGCTTCTGAGTCCTGTAGTGGTAAATAATTCCTCTTAAGAGGTAAAATTTAAGGTAGTCAATCTAAGATACAACTAAGTTGTGAAATTCTAATTTTTGAGAAATAAAACTTCAAAGTTCTTTATGGAAAAATATATTAATGCATAACTCAGTTATGTATTATCTTTTTCTAGAAGGTGAATGTTAACCTCTCTACTGAGCATGAAACAAAAATATTAATACATAACTGTTAGTTATGTATTATCTTCTCTTTCTACAAGGTGAACGTTAACCTCTCTACTGAGCATAAGGCAAAAGTAGCCTTCTGCTTTTCTCCCAGAAAGTCTTAAAAACACTACAACAAGGCTTTCCCCTCCTTGTGAGGAAAAGCTGCTGCTACATCCTTTCCAACCCTCTTCCCCTCGCTAGTGTACTCATGATCATATTGGTATGGAGTCTCACTTTGAGAAAGTCGAAGGAGTTCTGCTGTTCCATCTGTGTCTGGATGCTCACCAGCATGTCCTTGGCTAGATGACACTGTTCTTGAAGCTGATTCAGATTAAGCTCCATCTCGTCACACAAAGCTTTCCCTTCTTCTCGGATATCATTTAAAATGTCCTTTTCTTTGCCATGCAGGAACTGATGCAACTTTAGAAACTCCAAGGAGATGTGTTGCTGCAGATGTAGCTTGTTTTCCTGGAAACCTCCATGATCACCATGGCAATTACTGAGACTAGCACTTGGGGATGAGGGCCCAAAGCACCAGCACTCACACACTTTGGAAATATTATAGCAGGAAAATATATACAAATGCTAAATATCAACATCCAGCCACACTACAGGAGCCCTAAGGGAGACTTAACTCTGTCTTTCCCAGCATGGCTGATAGTTCAGGATAGTCAGAGTGCTTTTAGGTTTCTACTGCAATATTGAAATAGTTACCAGTGTCATATTAAATCAGGATGTAAAGTTTATCAAACATTCTAGAATGAGTGACAACCTCCTCGCTAGAAGTACAAACCATTAAATATCATGTATTGCTGTTAAACTGGGACTAGAAAGTGCTGGAAAACTGTCTTTATTTGAAATCAGAACTAGGACAGAAAGATGTCACTCCTCCTGTCAGGACAATATAGAAGAATCAGGAAAAGGGCAATGTCTGAAGCACTGAAATCAACAACTTCTTCATTTGCAGCTCTTTCCTTAGATAGTCACCATTCTCATGGATGAGCCAACTGACATTCTGGCTTCTCAGTTCCTTATCCCTCTCATTTCTAGTGATTTCCACCTTTATATATTTATTGGCTTAGTCACAGTAATGATTTTATTATCCCCAGCAATTGCACCACCTCCAAATGTAAATGTTTTGTGTTCCCTTACTCAGTACCCCTATTGCAACAATTATTGGATTTCATTGAAATCACCCATTCATTGATTCTCCCATTTCCATTCATCATCTTTCTTCATGTGGTAGACAGAATGGATTCCACCATTACATCCACTCATCCACCATTAAAGTTCTACTCTTACTCTCTTCAGGCTCATGCTTTCCCAGTTTTCCTTTACCTCTTTCACCACTATTTTTCAGTCTTGTTTGTTGGTGTTACCTTCTTTAGCTAAGCTCTAAATATTAGTTACTCGATATCCTATCCTGATGTCTCTCCCCATCTCATTCTGTACTTTATTTCTAGACAGATATCGTCTTCCCCTATAGCTTTAAGCGTTGATCTGCTGATTTCTTATTTACCACCTTGGCCGATTTCTAAGTTCCACATTCCTATGTCCAGCTGACTGTTTCACATCTCCATTCACCCCTCACATAAAATCACCACACAGCCAGATAATTTTTATCTCCAAAGCATATGCTGAAACTGTATCTCTCCTGTCTCTCTAGGCCAAGCCACCATCATCATCCTCTGGGACTAATGTAAAAGTCTTCTCCTTGTCATTGTTTCCTTCCACACAGCCATCAGACTGATGTGTTTAAAACGAGATGAAACCATGTCCTGTTTAAACCTTTTAATGGCTCTCAATATTTATAGCATGAAGTTCGAAATTCCTAATATTATATAAAAGCCTACATGATTGGGCCCATATCTGTCTCTTCACTCCCATCTTGTCTACTTTGACCCAATTTTACTAGCCTTCTTGATGTTTAACATAGCAACTAACTTCTTGTCTCAGGACTTTTCTTCTCCAGACTAAGTCCTTCATATTCTTCTCATAGTTGAGTTATTTATCCTCCAATTCTCAGTTATTCATAGGTTACTTCTTCAGAGAAAACCCCTCCTCCTCCATCTAGATTATGCTCTCTATATACTCCTATAGCACATGGATTTTCATTTATATTAATTTTCACAATTGTTTTCTTGTTAGTAGTGGGGTTGTTCATTAACATTTGTCTTCCACCCTTGTGTAATATGGTATATAGTTTAATGCCTTAACCAGTCAGTGAATATTTGTTGAGTGAATAAATATTGACTGTAATCGCTGAGCTAGAATCTCTTACAATAGCATTTTTATAGGAACTCTTACAAAATTCCCTGATGACATCATTGTTTCCATCTATCCTTCTTTCCCTCGCTGTAAATATTTCTTCTGGATGCCAAGTACCAGAGAAGACATTCTTCCATAAAATAATTATGAAGAAACAGAAACCCCAATTTAAGCCTCCACTCTCAGGACAGGTCTGCCAAGTCTCTAATCATTAATGTTCTCCTAGAGCTCTTATTTAGTTAAAAGCATATGCTATAGTTTTATTTAGTTTGGGAGAACCTAAAAAAGATCAAATCATATGGAAAAAGCCTGAGAGGCCTTAGTTCAGTAGTAGCCATGTTGTAGACCCAAAGAAAAAAAGTATGCTTTGGCCATAGCAATCTTTAGTAGATGTTTGTGAGAAATTTCCTACTTAGCCATGGATAAAGGGAAAGACCAGACATATCACAATCCCACAAGAATACCCTAGTGATTAAACTATCAAAAGGATCAGCACATAATGGGGAAGATTAATCAACTCTTTCTTAAATGACTGTTGGGAACCGACTACTCACTGTCATATTCCTATTCACCCTACAGTGCTTGTTTTTTAATTCAATAGGCTATTTCATGTATTTATTTTATATATATACCTCTCTACCCACATAGCTAAAGTTAACAAGGAGTGTGTATTTCTTGACACTGCTCCTCACCTTGTAAGCAGCAATAGCATCTTTCTGCATGTTCCTCAGGGACTGAAGCTCCTTGAGGGTTGCCTCCAGTTCACCCTGATGAATAGTAAGCTCCTCCTGGAATACCACATAGAATTAACCCACACTGACTTGGGAGATGAACGGCCATAAGGGCTGTCCCCAAAGCCCAATGTGTCAGGAAAACAAAGTAAGTTCTTGCTGCTAAAGCCTTTCCTTTCCACTATCCCATAATCCCTATCTTTTCCAAGAATTGTGAAAAACAATTCAAGCAGCAAAAAAAATAGCTTTTACCTTCTTGTAAGTTAAGGATATCAAGAAATTAACAGAATTCTGTACATTTTCTACTGTTCTCACTATCTATACTTTCATTTACATTGTTCTCACTTGGAATATTGGCTTCTTCCTTCTACCCACCCAAATCCAAATGATTTCCCAATTCAAGCTTTTTTTTTTTTTTTTAACCATTTCAGGTTTCTCCAGTTTGAAATTTCAAATTTTGTGGACTATAATTATGACAAAATTTATCTCTCAATAGTTAATTATATTGCTTCTGTTGTTTTATTTGTATTAAACTTGACTAAGTTCCAAGATTTTTATAATGAGAACAGTCTTCATTGTCTAGCACTGTCTAGCAATGTACTGTCATTGGAGGGGTGAGGTAATATCTGATTGAAGGAGGGAGTAAGCCTTCCTCCACTGCCCCTTACCTTTATATAATCAGCAACTCTAGAGAAAGATGTTTATAGAGATAGTGTATTTTCTGAGAACTCTTGAGTTTTCTGATAATTATCTGAATAAAGAAGTAGGATTACATGAGAGAAGAAGCCCTACAAAAGATTTCCCCCAGCTTTCCTAAGCATTTACTCAGTACCCAGGGTTCACCCACCGTGAAGAAACGGACAGCATCAGAGATCTGCAGGAACTCTTTAGACTGCCCCACAGACAACCGAGCATCTTTGCATTGAAAGCAGATCAGTTTCCCTTCTGGTTTACTGAACAGTTTCAGGTTCTCTCCATGCTCTGGGCACTGTGGTTGGCCCTTGAGTAAGGGTAGCTTCTTAATCTTCTCTACCAGCTTCTCTAGTACAAGGTTGAATGTACAGCTGCTATATGGACATAGCATCTTACACTCAGGACAGAATGTTTCCCTTGTTTGCTGCTTCCAAAAGTTTTGGATACAGACCTGGCAGAAGTTGTGGCCACAACTTAGCATCAGTGGATCACGAAACCAATCATTACAGAGAGGGCAGTGTAGCTCCATAGTAATGTCTTGTATCTGCACTTTAGAGGGTATTTGGGTGACTAAATCACTCACTTCAATGTAGTCTCTTGGGTCGGTCTCTGCAGAAGGGTTGGAAGAGACCTTTGGAAAAGGATAGCTAGAATAAGTTTCTCTTTCTTACTGCCCATTTCAGGACTCTAAAATAGTGGACTCCCTTCCTAAAGGAGCTGAGAATTGGTACAGCCAGAATATAAGCACCAGAATCTCTCCTTTGAAAGTAATTTGATAAATTCAATGTTTTATAACATCATAGTTTATTACTTACCTCCAACCTTAACTTTAGAAAACTAAGGCATAAGAAAGAATACCAAACAAAAGAAATGTTTTGTTACACATCCCTCCCTCCATCTACTTCCTTCCTTTATATATCAATTAAAAGTTTTGTTTTCAACATCTGTTCTACTAGTTACTACCTCTTTGTTTTCTTGAGGTTCACATACAAAGAATTGGAAGATCAATTATATTCCTTAGTCAGTGGCGTGTCACCAAATATAAAATTTAGCCCCTCCTCTCTGCATTTAAAAAAATTACAGAAATAACACACAGGAAGTTGTAGAATTATAAATGACTTTTCACAAAATGAATGAGTTTCACCTTCATCAAGAAACAGAACACTTCCAGTATCTCAGACGCCCCCTGCCCCCATAAGTCTGTTTCAAATCACTAACCCTTATAAAATATACCTTATTCTGACATCAAAAACTATAGTTTGCCTTGTTTTGAATTTTGTATAAAAGAAACCATAAATTTACTATATCCTTACCAAAAGTTAACGTAGGTAATATTCGTTTTAGTCATTCTGGTGAATAATGCAGTAGTATTGCATTGTGATTTTAACCTGCATCTGCTGTATGGTTATGGATATTGGACCCTTTTGTTTGTGCACTCGTTTTGATACACATTGCTCAAGTTCGTTTATTTTACTGCCACTTAACATTCTTTTCATAAAAATCTGTTTACCCAGTTTACTGTTGATAGGCAATGGATTGTTTTGTTGTTTTACCATACAAACAGTGCTACTATGATAATTTTCTTCCATGTTTCCTCATACATATCTGTGAGGTTAACTTAAATTATTTTGTATTAACTTAATATTAGACCAGCGTTTCTTTTCCTGAAGTTATAAAGGCAAATCAGGCTGTCATCAGATTTTGCCCAACTACTCTCCAGGCAAGAAGGTGGCATGAAGTGTTCACAGTTATAAAAAACAAAAACTTCCAGTCAAGAATACTCTTTCTTACAAACTAATCATTCATATATGAAGATGAAACAAATTATTTTCCAATCATACAGAAGCTAATGGATTTTACCACCCCTATGCCTGCCCAATAAGAAAGGAGGAAACAAAATGCACTGCCCCAACACTAGAAATACATAATCAGAAACCTGAGCAAGAATATTATGAGTCAGCAACAAAATACTAGAAGGGGGGGGAAGATATTGAAATAACACCCTAGATTCGAAATAACTCAGTCTGAGTTATTTCTGGATTGATGTCAGTATTTCTGGATTGATAACCACTGACTTTATCTATTAAAAATAATCTAAATTGGGGCCCTCCCTGGTGGCTCAGCGGGTTAAAGCACTGCACTAGGAAGCTTAAGCCACTTCCGCATGAGTTCTATCCCCACCTGCTCCGGAGGTGACCACATGGCAAGGCAGACCTCTCCTGACCCGACTGCTGCTCCCCTCAGCTTCGTTGATCTGCCTGTTCTGCTCCCCACTCTGTCTCTGGTGAATCCTCTCACCCTTCGCATCTCTATACCCTAGTTCTATATGAATAAATAAGTAAATCTTAAAAAAAATAATGTAAATTATAAAAAAAATACTAGAGAGGGGAAGTAAAGGTCAGAACCTATAAAGTTAAATGTCAGCAAGGCAATATAGCTCATAAAGGGCTGTCACAAACATAAATAAGTTTGTTATATCCCTCTGGTAACCAGTAAGCAAAAATCTAGAATATAGGCACATAAAAGTGAAGAAACTGAAAAAAACACTAGGAAAAGCCATCCAAATAAAAGAGCAGAGAGAAACAAATGGAAGAAGAGACAACAATAAAAAAAAATTGCCAATAACTAAGCCCCATATTTCAATAATCACCCTAAATGTGAATAGCTTGAACTTACCAGTTAAAAGGCACAGAAAAAAAAAATTGAGTTTAAAGGTTTCGGCTATCTATAAGTTGTTTACAAGAAACCGTAAAGTGAAAGGTTGGAGGAAGGTGCTTCAAGTCCATAACTCAGAGAGAGAAGAAAGAACTACTGTCTCCATAGTTGATGAATCAGACCCACACAAATGTGGACAGTTAATCTTTTACAAAAGAGCCATAACCATAAATGGAGAATGGAAATCTCTCTAATAATTGGTGTTAGGAAACAAGGATAATTCAAGTAAAGAAAAATGAAACTAGATCCATATTTAACCACATACACAAAAATTCAAAATGAATTAAGATTTAAGAACTGAAACCATATATAATTCTTAAAAGAAAACACAGATACACAACTAAACATCAATTGCAAATACATGTTTGGGGAATTCAACCCCAAAGACAAGGGAAACAAGCAAAAATAAATAAACAAATGGGACTGTCTCAAACTAAAAAGCTTTTGTGCCTCAAAAGCATTCGTCACAAAACAAAGAGGCAATCTTCTGGAACCTTGAGGGCTGATATTAATACTTCTTTAAATATTTGGTAGAACTCACTATGATTGTATGATTCTGGCTTTTCATCAGGAAAATACAAAAAGAAGTAACTGAAATACTATTTTATACCCACTAGAATTCTTTTTTGGATAAAAACACAATTGGGAGACATGGAGAAATTAAACCCTTGTATACTTTTTGACACTGTAAGATGGTGCAGCCACTGTGAAAAACAGTTTAGCTGTTCCTCAAAGTTAAACATATCAATAGAATTACCACTTGCTCCAACAATTCTACTTATAGGTATATACCCCAAAGAATTAAAAACAGGGTTTCAAACAAAATTTGAACACAAATATTAATAGTAGCACTGTAATAATAGTAGTCACTGGCAGAAACAACCCACATGTTCATTAATTGATGGAAGGATCATAAGATAAAAGATTAAGTCAGTCATAAAAAGGAAGTAGTGGTATAGACTTAGAACACAGATATAACCTTAAAAACATTGTTATGTGAAAGCTAGACACAAATGCTAGACATATGTTATATGATTTTATTTATATGAAGTATTCCGAAAAGGCAAATTCATAGAGATAAAGAGCTTATTTTTGCCAGATGCTGAGGGAAGGAAGAAATGGGGAGTAACTACTTAGTGATTATAAGGTTTCTTTTTTGAGTGATGAAAATATAACTATATAGGAGTGATGATTGCACAATACAATGAATATACTAAATGTTACTGAATTGCAAACTTTAAAATGGCTAATTTTGTGTTATGTAAATTTTATCAATAAGAAAAAATGATGTTATATGACTCCAGAGCCAGAATATTTTTTTTTCTGCTGGAATTCCTGAAATAATCTTGCCCACTCTGTACTTTCAAGTGCCAACATCATTTGCTTGTTAACAGCATATACCACAACCAGTTCTGTATATTCTTATTCCTTCTTAAATGCTAAAGCTGAAAAGCTGTGATCTAGGAATATAAAAAATGGGAACTGACAGGGGGCAGAGACTTGTGAAGAAGCCACTTTCTTCTTGGCCTTGGGCCTTGTATTGGAGACTTAGGGGAACATGGAAGGAGACACTTGGAAGAGACGTGGCCATCACTGAAGCCAAAATGGACAGAAACCTTAAAAAGATCCTAAAAGGCAAAGTCAAATCTTGCCAAGTAGGAAAGAAAAGGGCAAATACAAGGATGAACAATTGAGAAGATAAATCAGTAGTCTTATGTACAGCTTTCATAAAAAATGCTAACCTGGAAAAAAAGGGGGACCTGAGGTAAGACCTCAACACAGGTGATAATTTGTATGATGGAAATAAATATATTTAGGGCATAATAGATGGGTCCCTACACTTTGACTCCTGGATGTGATCAAGAGAAACATTGGGACATCTAAATGGAAATTAAAAAGTCAGATTTTCAATAGGCAAAAGTGATTAAGATTATGGAAAAACTGTTAAATGTAGATACATGATTTTTCAATTATATATGTCATTGTATTTGTCATGTGTTAAGGTGAAAAACTTACATACAGAAGATTTAATCTGAAGCTGAATCCCCAAGGATTGGCCCATGGCTTACTCTCATGCACTCGAGGGGGAAATTTCGTACTCAGAACTTGCTCTGATACTCAAATCAATGATGGAATTAAGGGAATCCAAAGAATTCTAAGACCAGAGCTGCTTTCATCTGCTGTATTAGAGAATTTGAGTATAATCCAGAACTGCTTTTTCATTCCTAACCTTGCATTCCCAGTTTTAAGTTTGTTTGCCTCTACTTAATGGGCTTTATTATACTCATATTTAGATCTAGTCTAACCATGGGAACATGACTAAAAATCCTTGACCTTGTCATCAAATTCCACTCTCGCTGATGAGTATTTCTGTTGCTCTTTTCTCATACTTAGATTTCAACCTCTTTCTATCCAGTATTTTCACTTGAGTTCTTAGTTTTTGGCTCCTTAAGTTTCCCATGTCACCTGTGTTCTTTACCCCCCATGCCTGATCTCTCTTAATCTGGGTTTTACCTACCTGAAACTAATACAGTAATTTCTCCTTGATTATTCCCTCAACATCATCCTCTTTCTGAAACTCCCATCAGTCAAACATCAGAGCTTCTCACACTAGCCTCCATTTATCTTAATTTCCTTTTTGTATTTTCTAACTCCATAGCTCTTGGTGCTTTGCTCTAGACATTTTACCCCATTCTTGTTTTCCAGTGCTGTTTAGTTTTTGTGTCTTTGTATAATGTCTCTTTCTCCAATATCTGTGAATGTTTGAAGTCTTCCTGAGTCAGCTAATTACAAGAAACTTGCAATAGGATGGGGACAGAACCATATTTAAGACAAATTTATTTTTTATTAAATTTTTATTTTCTTACATTGTTGCTTATTTCTGTACAATATTTGATTTCTTTGCTTATATGCAGT